AAGCACAGAGTCCTGGTTTGAAACTTAGTATCCCCAAAAAGTTATGACTTATATTTAGAAGTCCCTGCAAATACTCAAGTGGCCATAGGTGGGGCTTTTTTGGGAATGGCCAGACATAAAGTATGTTATGCTAGGACTGATCCACAGTACAATGCTAGGATTAGGAGTGTAGCCCAGATAAAATGTAAGGGACAGACCACAGCTTGCTCCTTGCTTGTTTTTGCTGTCCACTGCTGCCATGAACTTTTTCTCCTCTGGGATGCCACCCTGCTTCAGAGCCGGGTGACTACAGACTGAAGCCTCTAAGAACTGTAAACCAAATAGAGCTTTCCTCCTTTAACTTGCGGGTGTTGGGTATTTTTGTCTCTGCAACAAGCTAAGTCACTAACTGCCCAGGGAGTGGGTGGCACAGACCTTGGGCACAGCCAGGTCCTCAAGCCATCTCATTACTTCCCCCCACCCTGGGGCAATGAAGCCAATGAGCCACAGCTGTGCAGGAAATGACCCAGACCTCTGTGCCTTCAGGAAATGACCTAGACCTCTGTGCCTTCAGGAACTTGGGTTTGCCAAAGAGTGTCCAAGACGTAGGACACAGATTGCAGTTCAGAAAGGACAGTGTTGCACCCCACTTGCAGGCATTTCATACTTGCCTAAATGTTGATTTAAGGACACACAGGCCCATTTGTCCACACCCCAGTGATAAAGAATGACTTCCTTATCTTGTTTGGACTGTGCTGACAAGCAGGGGTCTGTTCTGCGTAGGTCACCTAGGGCCTCAAGAGGTGTCATGTGCATCTTCACGAGGTCTTTATAGTTTCTCACTGACCCCTAACATATCAAGTTGGCCCTTCTGGCCAAGCACAGTGATGCATGCCTGTAAGGCCAACAGTTCAGGAGGCTGCGGCAGAAAGACTGCTGTTCAAGCCTACCTTGGACAACTGAGTGACACCGTGTCTAAAATAAAAATTAAAAAAGGACTGAGGATGTAGCTCAGGTGGCCCAGCAGGGGCCAAGCAGGTCCAGCAGCCCTGGAAGATGTAGAAACCCCTAAATTTTTTGTCTCTTTGGACAAGAACTCACTATGTAGTTCAGGTTGGCCTTGAACTTACTGCAATCTTCCTACCTCAGCCTCGGAAATCTCCAGTATAGGAAGAAAAAAAAAAACTTTTGATATTCAAATTCTTTTTTGGGGGGCTACCTGAAATCAAACTCAAAACCTCACTCTTGCCAGGTAGGCGCTGGCTCGAATTCGGGATTTCCCACTTCTCTGAAGAAAAATAAGCTGGGCTGGTAGTGCAAGCTGTAATCCCAGCTCTAGGGAGGTTGAGGCAGGAGGATCACTATAGTTTCGAGGCCAGCCTGTGCTACATAGTGAGTTCAAACCCAGTCTGAACTGCAGAGTGAGACCTGTCTTAAAGCAGAAAACAAGAAAAACAAAAAAGCCACCATCAGCACAAAATCACATACACTGTGGGTGTCAGGTGTGTACTTCCGGGACAGGTAGGTCTAAAGATGCAGAGAATGCACACACCTGTGTGCCATGGAGAAGTCTGTCTCTCCCACCTGGCAGCAGCCACCCTGTCCCAAGAACCTCTAGCTCCCCAGGACCCAGCTGGGAGCAGCCAGCAATCTACGGGCTCAGAGCAGTAAAGTGAGTGGCCAAGGCCACACAACTGGGAAACCCCGGCAGCACGCTGCCTGGTGACCCACCTTCCCATCGGGCACACTGCTGTACCCACTGAAGTGCAAGGGCCCTGGTGCGGTGCGGCTGAAGTCCACAGGGAGGGGTCGGTCCAGGCAGGTGGCCCGGCAAGGGGGCAAGCAGGTCCAGCAGCACAGGAGGATGTAGACGGCAGAGAAGACCAAGGAGCACAGGGCAATGAGCAGGAGGCGACCCTGAGAAGACAGTGGAGGGGAAAACGTCTAGATGCCCCTGCAGCAGCAGCTCCTAGAACCCACAGTCTGCTTTCACCAGGCCCTGGGTCCCCCCCACCATAGCCCCACCTCTGTCCCCACCCCCTGCTGACTCTGGCTGTCTGCTTGCTGAGGATCAGGATGTAGGCCAGCAGTCCAGGTGGTACAAGGGCTCAAGGGACACATCTTTCCAGCCAGTTTCCATAATTGGAAAGCTGCTGTCGGGGGATTTCTACCTCTGGAAACCACAGCTCAAAGGCCACAAGTCCCGGGCACTCCTTCCGGCGTTCTCAAATGTGGGCTCCGCCTGGGGCCAGTCCAACTGACAGTCTCAGTGGCAGCCCCCTCCAGCCCTTCCAGGACCTTGCCACCTGGTGGGTGGGACCTCAGTCTTTCTGTGTGTCGGGCCATGGCGGTTGGTCGACAGCTGTGTTTTGGGTTCTGGGACCAGCAGCTGTTGCTCTCTGAAGACCAGAGGCAGGAAAACAGGTCCACCCCAGCTCCCGGGGGTGCGCTGCCCAAGGTCCCCTTGCTTTCCTGCCCACAAGCCACAGAAGCATTAAAAAAAGTCTCCTTGTGGCCAGCTTTTCCAGCTCTGCCCGGGAGGGGCCAAACCCTGAGACCTCGCCAAGGGCAGCAGAGGTAAACCCCGCCCCCGGCATCCAGGTCTCTCCCCACGCAGGCCTCAGCTTCCTGACCTGCTGATGCTGTTCCCTCCGTGTCACTGGTGAGGGCAAGGAACCGAAACCAAGACACAGGCGCCGCTGGCCTGGGGTTGCACAAAGCAGGGCTGACCCCGCGAAGGACAGCTGTCCTTCTTGAGTGCAGGGAGGGCAGACGCGACCATGGGCTGGGGTGCAGCTCAGGCGATAGCACATGCTCACTAAGCACAAGGCCCAGGGTTTGAAACCCCCTCACGAGAAAAACAAACAAAAAACCCCCACAAAGAGCGTGACTGTGGGTTCCAGCGTGGGAAGGCGATTGAGGTTACTCTGCCACAACGCAAAGCTCCCCTGGGCCTTTGCTCTGTGCCACCTACCTGGGCCTTCATGCTGTCGCAGGCCCTCAGCAGTCCTGGAGCTGCTGTCCCCAGGAGTCAGGAGCTGGGCACCTGCCAAGACTCGAACATTAGAGCTGGGAAGGAACACGACGGGGGAGGGCGTCCCCGGGTCCGGAGGAAACTGAGGCAGGAGGTGCAGGTTGGGATGGGAAATGGGCCTGGGGGGCCAGAGCTCCACCCTCGGTGGAAGTATGGCATCGTAAGGGAGCTGCAACAGGCGACCTTCGGAGCCGCCGCGGCAGAAGGGCAGAGGGATGCGCTCCAGTCTCAAGGTCACCCACTGGTCCGAAGCCGGGATCGCGACCTCTTCCATCCTCCCACCCCGCGGGGCAGCGTGAGGCCCTGGACCCACACCACTTGGGCTTTCTCCGCGCCTAGCGACTCCGGCGCCCCCTCCCAGGTCGGGCCCTCACCAGGCGGGAAGATGGGAGAGCGCCCGAGCTTCTCCATCCACCGCGCGGAGCTCCATGTCCGGCGGGCCGGGCGAGCCGGGCTGCAAGCCGGGGCCCCGGGGAGGAGGCGGCGCCTCGGCCGCAGCTTCTGCCGGGTGAAGCTGAACGCTCGCGGCAGGCAGAGGCGGGGCCTGGTACGCAGGGGGCGAGGCCTGCGCGCCGGTGGGGGGGGCTACGAGCGCGACCCCAGACGGGACGTGCGTGCCTAGCGACATCGCCTCGGGGGTGGGGGCGGGACCTCGGCACGGGGGGCGGGGTCTGAGCTGAGCATCTCCGTTATTTGTTCCTCTTGCATTTCTACCGGGTTCCTGCCTGGGGACCGGATGGCAGAGCTAGAGGTTGTTGAGCCATCGGGCCGTGGCTGCCGGGCCACTCAGATTTCAGTCTCTGTTTCTGAACTGGCAGGCTTGGTGACACACTCCTATAATTCCAGCACTCAGGAGGCTGAGGCAGGAAGATTGTGAGTTCAAGGCCAGCCTAAGCTGTATAGGGAGACCCTGTTTTAAAAAATAAAAAGCAAAGGAAAAGAAAGAAAAGAATCTATTTCTGAAATAGGGGTGGGACCTGAGAAAGTCATCTGGGGCTTTGGGCGGGGTTTCAGGCTGGTAGTCACTAGATTTAGCGATTGAAAAACAACACACCCAATTAAAATGGATTTCAAAGGTCGGGGAGATGGCTCAGAGAAATAAGCACTTCTCTGGCAAGTGCAAGGGCCTGAGTTCAATCCCCAGTTCCGCAAAAAAAAAAAATAAATAAATAAAGTAAATAAATAGATAAAATGGATTTCAGATAAACAAGGAAGAAACGAGCTGGGTTTGTTTTGTTTTGTTTTGGGTTTTTTTTGTTACTGTTGTTTTTGTGGAACCAGGGATTGAACTCAGGCTCTTGCGCTTGCCAAGCAAGCGCTTATTCTGCTGAGCTATCTCCCTGGCGAGCTGTTTTTATTTTTTGAGCTGTTTTTAATAGGATTGATTTATATTTCGGCATTGAGGGTTGAAGCCAGGACCCAGCATGTGCTCTGCAGCTGAGTTACATCCACAACCTTTTTCATTCAGTTCTGAGACAGAGTCTCACTCAGTTGCCCAGACTGCATCAGCATCCAGAGTAGCTGGGACTACTGGTGCATGTCACCCAGACCAGCTAGTGCTGTAGTTTAATGATGTTCACATGACCTTCGTTTGAGCCCCAGTCTCTCCCCTGTAAAGTAGGAGGATTCAGGAGTTGCCTGTGGCAGAGTCAGGCTTGAGTCGGGGCAGCTTCTCTCTAGAGCCCAGGCTCTGACACCCCCTGAGCTTCCCTGTCTGACCCTGGCAGATGTTCAAATATGGGACTGAAGCAAATGTCTCACCTGCAAATGTCTTCAAGGACTGGGGTGTGCGTCCTCGGCTCAGCAGCCTTCCGAGAGACAGCCCTGTCCTGGGTCCCCTTGAGCTTGGTGTCCTCGATTCCTGATCCCCATGCTTCCCCTGTCCTATTCAGCACCCAAGCAGCCCTGCCCTTTTCCAGGCTTATTTTTCAAATAAGCACTTCTTGTCCCTCCCACAAAAGGGGTCTCCGATGGGATGAGCTTTCTGGATTCCCCAGGTCTTTTTCCTTCACATTTCTCCTCAGATAGCAAGACTCTGCCCCCAAAAGCACTCTTCCCCTTCAAGCTGGCATGGTGACACACTCAGGAGACCGAGGCAGGAGGTTCCCTTCAAATTCAAAGCCAGCCTGAGGTACATAGCAAGACCCTGTCTCAAAAAAATGAAAGGAAAGGAAGGAAGGAAGGAAAGAAGGAAAGAAGGAAGGAAGGAAGGAAGGAAGGAAGGAAGGAAGGAAGGAAGAAAACCACTGTTCTTACCCCTGTCTTCAAAATCCTGCTGCATGATATGGACCCCTGCCATAGTCACCCTCCCTCAGGACCTTAATATTCATTGTTTCTCTACCTCTCCTGCTCTCATCATGTGGCTTTCTTGTCATTCAGCTCAAGCACGGTCTCCTCAAAAAAGTCCTTGCCATGGCCAGGGAGATAGCTCAGTGGCTTAAGCACCTGCTTGGCAAGCACAAGGTTCTGAGTTCAATCCCTGGTACCAAAAGGGGGCGGGGGGCAGGGAGATAGCTCATTAGAATAAATGCTTGCCTGGCAAGCACAGGGTCCTGAGTTTAATCCCCAGTATTGCCAAAAAGAAAAAAAGGAAAAAAAAAGTCCTTGCCAAATACCCTATCTGATGTTGCAACCTGGCTCCTCTTGTCTCACCTGATTTGTTTCACTCATTTTCCCAGGACTAGGGATTTAACCCAGGGCCTTCACATTGAACTATACCTCTAGCCCATTTTTATTTTAGTTTTTAAACTTAGAGACAGGGTCTCTGTACGTTATTGCTAAGTTGCCCAGGCTGGGCTGCAAACTTTCAAAACATCCTCCTGCCTCAGCCTCCCCTATAAGTGCTGAGCTTATAGACACACACAGCTGGTTTATTTTCTTTATGGCATTTGTCACAGCTTGAAATCACCCTGGTATTGGTGTATTGGCGATGTCCTTGTTTATGGTCCGTGTGGCCACTGGCAGATGAGTCCTGTTCTGAGGGACACCACCAGCACTGCCTGGTCCTGGGCACCCAGTAGGAGCTGGTTAACAAGTTAGCAGGGCCGGGAGCCTCAGATCCCTGAGGTCTTTCTTGAACAAATCATCACCTCTCTTTGGCCTCAGGCCCTGCCGGGAAACCACGGAAGAAGGCTGAGTCACCCCAAGTATGAGGGTGGGACTCTAAGCTCCCTGCATTCCAGCTCCTGCCACCCCTGCCTGACTGTCCCAATCCATCCCCTCCCAAGTGACCACCAGAGCCTAACTGCCACGTTTTTTTGTTTGTTTGTTTGTTTGTTTTGTGGAACCAGGGATTGAGCTCAGGCCCTTGCACTTGCCAGGGAAGTGCTTATTCTACTGAGCAATCTCCCCGGCCTCTATGGGTAGTTCTTTTTTCTTTTTCCTCCACATTTCAATTCCTTGCCAAGTAACAAGAAATCCTTGTAGCTCTTGAAGGCTCAGAGAGGGTGCATCATTGCCCAAGATGTCCCAGACAACTAGTAGTGGCGTGGCTCTTCCGGAACCTCGTTGTTGCCCTGCAGCCTGGCATAGTGTCCCCTCCTCCTGCTCCTGACAGCCACCTGTTCTTGGCTGTACCTGAGGGTGGCCAGGGGCTTTCCTGGCCCTGAGTGGCCACACAGGCCCAGCCCCACTACGCTAGGCCCCCCTGTCCACCAGGAGACTATTTTTTCTAAGAGATCTGGTCTCTCTCTGCCCAGGCTTTGCTGTGATGGGGGGTCTGGGCCCCTGAGAGCTCTGACTCCTTTTTCTCTACTTGGGGGTTAAGCCCAGACTGACCACTTCCACGTTGAGACTGCATCCTGGCTCTGTGGCCCCAGCTTCCCTAAGAGGTTTGGTTACACCTGGTCCCTGTTATCACCCAGTCCCTGAGCTCCAGAAAGGTTTTTTTTTGTTTTGTTTTGTTTTGGTTTTTTTTTTGGTATCTTGCTCTGTCCCCAGGTTCCCCTCATCCAGCAGAGAGCCACATGGCCGGTGCTCAGTAAATTTTTAATGCGTTGCTGAGGTCTGTTTTCATCCTTTCCATTGTGCACACAAGACTGCTGAGGCACAGAGGGGTTTAGCACCTTGTGCTGGTCACACAGCCAGGCCCTAGGGCAGCTCTGAAGTCGAGGCCTCGGCCAGCACGGTTCCATTGGGGTCGGAGACCAGGCTGGGGTTTCCTGGTGGAGGGAGAAGGGATGATGAGAGGCGACAGGGGCTCCCTGGGGTCTCTGCAGCCAACCACTGACCCTGCCCCCCTTTCTTTTGCTTGTTTGAGACGGGGTCTCACTATGTAGCCCAGAATGGCCTCAAACTCTTGGTGATCTCCCTGCCTCAGCCTCACCAGTGCTGGGATTACAAGCATGTGCCAACTCGCCCAGAAAGTGACTCTCAGAGGCCAGAGGACTCCTCAGAGCCTCCCAGAGCACCAGGAAGCCCTCCCACTGCCCACCCTCTCCCACCCACACTGGGGGGGGGGGCGGGGCGGCACATCCAGACGGAGACCCTGGGGCCCTGCGAGCCCGGAGGCTTGAGTTCTCCGGGCCTTGCCACTTACCCGAGCATAAGCCCCTCAGAGTCTCCTGGCCTCAGTTTCCCCATCTGGACGACTAGCGTTGGAGCCATCCATCATCCTGGCCTACCCAGAGCGTGAGGAGCCAGGGGCTTAAGAACACACACTTTTGGGGCCACCAGGTAAGGTGGAGCCTGATCCAGCATCCGGGCTGCATGATGATGCTCAGTTTCCTCACCCCCCGAGCCTCCACTTCATGGTCTGTAAAAAGAGAATAATAGCATTTCGAAGATTAAATGTGCTAATGCGGGGCATCCTCCAGTCGGCGCAGGGCACTGCTCCTCCACCACACCGGGCAGCGGTAGCATCGTCACAGCATTGATTAGAGGACGCTGTCCTCTGGTGGCCGCGGGTAGGAACAGCAGGCGAGTTGTCCGGACGCTGAGGGCAAGGGAGTTCCTGAAAAGCGCCCATTGTCCAGATGGGGAGACAGAGGCCAGGCGCCGCTCACTCGGTGTGCGCCTCGACCCACTGGCAGAGGCGCCGGGAGTAGCGGGCCGGGCTAACAGTGGAGAAGGTCCGACCCGGGTAACGCAGCGTCTTCCATAAATGCTCCAGCCGCTTGCGAAGCCCGTAGACCGTGGCAAGGTCCACGAGGCCCAGGAAGTAGCGGTGCTCCGGCCCATCCAGGACGTGCAATGCGTTGGGGCCGTCGGGCAGCAGCCGGCGGTTCTGGGAGTCCGGCTCCTCTGGGATCTGCGCCCCGTGCACAGACCTGGGTGGGAGCCACAGTAGAGTGAGTCTACTGCCTGCTCTAGGGAGCCCCAGCCATCCCCACCCCTGCCCAGATGACCTGGGAGGCAGAGGAAACAGTTGCTAATGTCTAGGGCTGCGCTGACCCCATCCCAGGCACCCGCCACAGGTGCACCAGAGGGGAAAATATACACTGATTTTCAAAAACACTGTAAATGAAAGAATGTTGATGAGCTCATCAATTCTCATGCTGCTTAAGTGAAATGAGCAGGTTTTGCGTGTGTTGAGTAACTTATTGTAATTATTTTCCTCTGTTTTTTTAATATTAGGGTGGTTTGTTTTGTTTTGTTTTCTGGTACCAGGGATTGAACTCAGGGCCTTGTGCTTGCCAGGCAAGTCATTTCTTGTTTTTGGAAAGTGTCTCGCAATTGTAGCTCAGGCTGACCTAAATTTGCCACCCTCCTACCTCAGCCTCCAGACTACTGGGATTATAGGCTCATGCCATTGTGCTTGCCTCTGTCCTACTTTTAAAATGAGGCTATTGGGCTGGGGAGAGGGCTCAGTGGAATAAACGCTTCCCTGGCAAGCGCAAGGGCCTGAGTTCAATCCCCGGTTCCGCCAAAAAATAATAAAATAAAATAAAATGAGGCTATTAGAGAGGCAAAGAGGAGGAGGCAGGAGGGTCACTGGGAGCTCAAGGCCAGCCTGAACAACAGCAAGAGCCAGTCTCAAAAGAAAACAAACCATAGGGCTGGTGAGATGGCTCAGTGGTCTAAAGCACCTACTTAGAACAAGCTTAGCAAAGCACAGGGACCGCGGTTCAGTCCCCCAGCACCACATGCCAGCCAGCCCCGCCCCCTGGTGGGCTGAGCTGCCCCCCCCCACAAATAAATAAATAAAATTAAAAAAACAAAAACAAACAAACCATAAAATAAAGTAGGGCCAAGCCTAAGGTCTCAGAGAGGCTCATGGGCAGCAGGCAAGGACCAACAGTTTCTCTACAAAGTGAGGACAGGACAGTGGCACGAGCAATGATGACCTCCTGGTCTTGGGCATGGAGGACGAGAATTTAGATATCTTGCTCTTTTCTCTGCTCCTGAACCTCCAGGCGCCACGCTGCTGCTGAGAAATCGCCAGGCTCTTCAGTTCAGCCGTGAGGCCCTCGACCAGCTGGACCAGGCAGTTGTGTGTCCAGCTGGGGTCTGCCCGTGTCCTGTGCCTTTCACTGCCAGCTTTTCTAGCCCTCTATTCTGTACACACACATGTGCACAAACACACACACTCCATGCTTTGTGGTCTTTGTACACTGCTGCCCCTCACCTGCCTGTCCATGCCACACGTGCTCACCTGGCCACGCGGAAGATCACGCTGCCACCCTGGCCCTGCTCGTCCTCATGGAGACGCTGGAAGGCCAGGAGGAGGCTGTAGTCCAGCACTCGCAGCTCCCGGAGGAAGGTGGTGTCCAGTTCCATCTGACGGAGGAGCCAGCTCCGCTGCGGCCCTGCCGAGCATCAGAGGCCTGCCTGAGCCTCACTGGGCCAGCCACAGTCCCTTTGTTCTCCTCCCAGGAGGGCAGGTGTCACCACTGTCCCCAGTAGACAAGGAAGGAAACCTATCTATACTTTGTCTTGTTCACCCACTTTTCAAGTCTTGGAGCCAGGACTTGGACGTTGCTTTCCTTGGCTCCAGAATCTAAGGTTGGTGTTTTTTGTTTTTGTTTTTGAGACAGGGTCTTGCTATGTGGTTTACACTGGCTTTGAACACACTATGTGGCTTGCCTCAAACTCATGGCCATCCTCCTGCCTCAGCCTCCTGAGTGCTGGGATTCTAGGCATTCACCACCATATCCAACCTTGTTTGTGTTTTGAACCAGGGTCTTACTGTATATTCCAGGCTGGCTTTGAACTAAGTACACCAGGCTGGCCTTGAATTCTCAATGATCCTTCTGCTTTGTCCTCTCAGAGCACTGGGATTACATGCATGCACTCAATCTAAGTTTTTAAGGACTTGGGCTTGGAGCCATGTGGGACCCTGCCAGAGCTTCAACCTGAATGGAGGAAGGCTGCCACTGTGCCCACAGCTCACCCAGGTTCACGGTCTTGCCCTGGAAATTGAGGTCCTTCAGCACAAGGACAAGGGGCCCACCCTCAGGGGCTGGCTCCACCCAGCGGCTCACCTCACAGCCCTTGATGTCATACCTGGGAGAGAGGGGGACAGGTTCAGCTTTACACAGATGAGGCACACAGGAACTGTCACGAGGCAATAATCTGAGGCAAGAGTCCCACTGGGTGACTATTCTCTAGTGCACCCAACTCATTCAGCACAGCACCTGGAAACCTCAGCACAACCCAGGTCTTGCAGGGTCCCCATGCTAGAAATGAGGCCAAGGCTCAGAGAGTTCCGGGATTCACCAAGAACAGCACACATGGAGTGGAATAGAGGTGCAGGCCCAGGCCTTGGGAAACCTAGCTGGCCAGGCTCTGGGAGCGGCCTGTGCACCCTGCTTGGCTCTTTGTCATTGCCAAGAGTGTCCCAGACACAGGGATGGGGAGCTGGTGCTCATGGGGGGAATCACACGAGGGAGCCTACTGGCATGGGGCTCTGGGCAGAGGCCAGGTTTTGTTTGCTCTACTGGGGATTGAAATCAGGACTTTCACCCCAAGCTTCATTCCCAGGCTTTTTCTTTTCTTTTCTTTTTTTTTGGACAAGGTCTTGCTAAATTGCTAAATTGTCCAGAGTGGGCTTAAACTTTTGATCCTTGTGTCTCAGCCTCCCAGCGTGCTGGGATCACAGGCGTGCCCACCCTGCGCAGCTGAGAGGCTGAGTGTGAAACGCTTCTCGCTTCTCCACGCTGGCTGCGTGGCCTGGCTCCTCCCCAGGCCCTCAGCGGTGCACTGAGGCTGAGGGCCACACATGGCCCCTGGGAGTAGAGACCAGGCGAGCCCGCGCCCCGACAGCGCCCCAGACACACTGAGCGCTGAGAAGCGGGAGGTGGACACCACCGCCTTCCGTCCTCTGGGTCTTGGCCTCGTCCTCTGCCCTCTCCGGGCTCCTCGTGGCGTCTGCCTACTGGGCGTCCGGTGGGGTCGGCCCCGTGCCTGCTCCTGGCCCTCTCACCTCTCCGAGATGCGGCCGGCGGGGTAGAAGACGCTCTGCATGATGATGAAGTACTTCTAGGGACGAGGGTGGTGAGTGAGGGGAGCCCGGATCTCACCTTCCAGATCTCACCAGCTCTGCCCAGCCGCCTCGCCCCGGCTTCACCCACCTTCTTTCCCTGGGCCACCCGCAGACTGTGCACTCCTGGGAGGGGGAGGGCGCCAGGTGAGGGTCCCAAGCTCCGTGACCGAGGTCGGGGGTGGGGGGCCTGGGCCTGGCCCCAATCCAGGCCACGCCTCCTGAGCCCGCCCCTCCAGGGCCCGCCCCCGAAACGCCCAGTCCCGAGCCTGCCCCTCTAGGACCCGCCCTCGGCCCCGCCCCCAGCCCGCATACCCAGCAACCGCGCGAGCAGCGAGTGCGGGTGTCGCTGCAGGTGCTGCACGTAGCGGGGCAGGTGGGCGAGCAGCACCCGCACCTCCCGGCGCCGCTGGGTCTTGAGGAAGAAGCGCTGGTCATGGCTGCGGGGTGGCAGGAAGAGGTCACTGTCCGCACCTGGCTGGGGCGGCTCCCATTGGGCCCTCTGCCTCAGCCTGGGCACCAAGATCTCTCTCCGACCCAGCTCGCAGCCGCCTCCCCCACCCCATGTCTCCAGCCAGCACCCCTGGTCTCCCCAAGGGGATCTCCCTTTGCCCAGAGCCCCATCCCTGCAGCAAGCTCACGACAGGAAGAAGCTGGCCTTGCTTTTGGAGGTGCTGAGGAACTGCAGGTAGGGGCCACCAGGGCCCAGTGCGGCCTGATAGTCCTCCTCTGCCAGGCCCAGGGAGCGACGCAGCCGGGCAAAGGCCGGGCCAGCTAGGGTGCCCAGCTCAAAGCCCTGTGGAGGAGAAAGAGCAGTCCCAAGAATGTCCATTGTTTCCAGGGGATTGCTGGCCCTGCTGTAGGAGTCAGGAAGACCAGGGCCTTTGTGCAAGGGCTGTAGGGACAAGCCAGAACCTACTCTGCATGGGTGGGGAAACTGAGGACAAGAAAGAGCAAAGACCCCTGCAGTGTCCCCCAAGAGTTTTAGCCTCCTACCTCATGAACCTGGGTCAGGACCTCGGAAAAATCTTCCTGAGTGGGCAGCCCCTGCAGGGATGGGTGAGATCTCAGGCAAGATCAAGATTCCCCACTATCCACCCTACAGTCCCCCATTTGGCTTTGACCCCTGTCCCCAACTTGCTTCTTTCCACACACAGGGTCCTGTGGTGTCCCTGAGTGGGACAGATGTGCTGGTGAAGCTCTGGGACTGGAGGGAAGAAGACAGTGACATGACACAGGGTCACGGTTGGGTCATCAGCACCAAGGTCTGAGTTCAAGCTTGGCACATGCACTCAGCCATATATTGGCTAAGTGAAGCCAGGTTCTGTCCTAGTATAAGGAGATGGCCCTGAAGTTGGGTGACCTGGGAGACACAGTCTGGGAGTGACCGGTCAGAAAAGTCTTCCTGGGGGAGGTGACCTCTGAGCTGAAATCTGAGGGGTAACAGAAAGGGAAGTGCAAGGTGCTTAGGGCAAGACAAATAGCATTGGTCCTGGGCATGGTGGCACATGTTTGTAATCCTTGCACTCAGGAGGCTGAGACAGGAGGATCATTGCGAGTTGGAGACCAGCCTAGGCTGCAAAGTGAGCTCAAGGCCAGCCTGAACTGCACAGGGAGATCCTGTCTCAAAAAGACAAAATAATAATAATAATTTTAAAAAATGAAATGGCATTGGTGGCTGGTGACCAGCAAGGGAAGAGGCTGGGGTGTCTGTGCAAGTGAGAGAGGGTCAGAGGGTGGGTGGCGCTGGACACTTGCTCCTTGGCACCCACAGGATTGCAAAGGCATGCTGAGTCCTGGGGAGCTAAGAAGTTTTCATCAGGTGATGAGGTCAGGTTGTGGTTTAGAGGACACCCCGGGACCTACTTTCTTTGGACCTCTGGATCCCTGTGCCAGGTCTTGGTTGGTGGGCTGTAGTCTGACTGTACACATGTGTGCACACACACAAATGACACACATGCTCACTGGGGCCCGCCCAGCTGCTGTGCTTGCAGTTGGGTGACACTTTCTGCTGAACCAGCATGGCCTCAGCCCAGGCTCTAGGGAGGATGGGCTGGGCAGGCAGGTGGGGGTGGGGTCCCTTTTCAACTGTACCCACTGGTAGGGCTGGGAGGAGCTCAAAAAAAATAGGTATAATCCCCTCCACCCATTATACAGATGGGGGCACTGAGGCAGAGGAACCCCCAGAGTCACACTGTGAGCACATAGAGTGTTTCTCATGCTGTCAACTCCCTAAGCCTTCCAACTTCCATCTCAGAATGTCCCTGCCTCTGTGCACCTAGCCTCTGCCTTCCTCCTTTTGGGAGCCCTCTCTGATCCCTGACACAGCAGCACGAGCAGGACTGGCCACCAGCCTGAGCATGGGTGGGTGGGTACGGGGGGGGGGCAGCCGGGCCATTCACCGTGGGTGGGTGGTCTATGGAGACCTGGGTGGCAGCCCACAGCCCTGCCTGCATCATACTCGTCAGCCCATGGAGCTCATGCCTTGGACCAATCTCAAATAGCCCCATGCGAGTCTGCTTGTCCCGGAGGCGCCAAAGGAGGCCACGACGGCGGCTGGAGCTGGAGGTGGCTGCTCTTTGTCCCGCCTCCGGGGAGGGGGCCAACGCCTGCTGAGAAGGGGCACAGGAGGCAAAGAGAGGCATCTCAGAGGGGAAAGAACCAGGTTAAAATCCCACTTGGACTACTTGTGAGGCTTCCTCTCATCTCTCTGCCTCAGTTTCCTCAGCTGTAAATTAGGGATAACGTTCCCACCCCAGCGGTTGTGAGGAGCCACGCAGACCTGCGCTGCATCAGACAGCGTGCCACCCGTGCTGCTTGTCTCCAGGAGGCATAGGATATGGGCTCTGCAGTCAGACCTGGCTGAGACTGACCCTGTCACCAGCTCTGTGACCTTAGGTAAATCGGTGCCTCTTTTCCTCAGCTGCAACGAGAAACTAAGGTAACACCTTCGGGGCGGTATTGACGATGTCCTGGCCAGCGTGTGCTCCCCGCACAGGAAGCTGTGTGCAGGCCTGCTCACGGGAATCGTGACTGCCCGCGGTTCATTCAGATCTATCCCACCGTCACCGCTGGCTTCCCACAGGCCCGCGCCAAGGGTGAGCAGAGACTGAGATCACGCAGCTGACCCGTTACGCGTGGACACCCACCGTGTGCCCTGCCCTGGCTGAGAGCTCCTAACGACCCTATAAAGGAGGAGCTTTTGATACCATCTCCATTTCCTCGAGGAGGAAACTGAGGAAGCCCTCCCGGGACACCCGCCAGATTACCCCACTTCAAACCTGCGCCCTCTATGGGGCGTGTCCTGGTCCCCTTCCAGGGCAGGGGCCCTCCCTGGCTGGGATGGGGGCGTGTCCGTCCCCCGGGGGGAGGGTAGGGGAGACCCACCAAACGTTCTCTTCCCTGTCCTTTCTCAGGTCCGCACCTACCTCGCGGGGCCCGGGGCTCGGTGCGGCCATCGCCCCCGCAGCAGCTTCCCGGGCTTTGGCCGCGTCCCCTGTAGCCCCGCTGCAGGAACCAGGCTCCGCCCCTGCCTCGCAATCGACCAATCTCGCGGCGCCGGTCACAGCCGCGCCCAATCCGAGCGGGGGGCGCTAGCGATCGCCTGCGGGTCCCGCCCCCGGAGCTGCAGCATCTCTGAGCCTAGCGGTCCAGGCCGGGTGGGGCCGCCAGGGCGTGGGCTAGGGTCCGAGGAGGGAAGACTCCCCGTTTTCTCCTTGGAGTGGGGGACCCGGCTCTCCGGAGATGCCTGCAGAGGTGGTTACCCTAAATCCTAGGCCGTCCACGCATTCAGGCATGAAATTCCCATTGGCTGTCTTTCAAGGAAAGAAACTAAGGTCTGGAGAAAGAAGTGACCTCTTCCAGGTCACACAAGAAGTCGGGCCCTCCATTCATTCAACACGAGTATTTGAAACACCCACTTTGGCCCAGGAGCCAGGCTAGGCCTGGAGATTTGGTGGAAAGCGGGTGGGAGGGACACCGTTACCACAGAGATCTTTTAAAAGCCTGAGTTGGATGATGTCACTTTCATGCTTAAGGCCTCCAGTGGCTTCCCATGGTAGTGGAACAAAATTCAAACTCATTGCCGTAGCCCTGCCCGCTGCACGCCCCTTCCCAGCCAGTCTCCAACCCCGCACTCCTTCCTCTGCAAGCTACCCTCCAACCCCAAGCCTTAGCCTGGTGGCTGTTCCCTCTTATCATTCTTTCCCCAGACTGCACCTACCTTGTTCCTCTTGTCACCCTGCAGACTCGAAGTCCCACAACCCACATTCCTGAACACATTCCCTCCTCTGTTTTTTTTTTTGTTTTTGTTTTTGTTTTTGTTTTTTTTTGCTGGGGGGGGGACAGTTTCGCTGCACAGTACAGGCTGGCCTTGAGCTCACTTTGTAGCCTAGGTTGGCCTCCAACTCGCAGTGATCCCCCTGCCTCAGCCACGCAAGTGCTGGGATTACAGGCATGTGTCACCACTTGAACACATTCCCTTTATGTTTTTCATCATCCTTCACAGTGTCAGAGATTTTTTTTCTTTGTTTTCCTTTATTTGAGACAGGGTCTCACTGTGTATGCCAGACAGCCTTGACCTCACTATGCACCCCAGGCTGGTCTCTAACTCACTGTGATCCTCCTGTTGCAGCCTCTCAATTACTGGGATTACAGGCATGTGCCACCATGCTTTGTGTCACAAATTTCTTTTCTTTTCTTTTTTTTTTTTTTTAAATTTTATTTATTTATTTGTGTGTGTGTGGCCAGCTCAGCCCACCAGGGGGGCGGGCTGGCTGGCGTGTGGTGCTGGGGGATTGAACCGTGGTCCCTGGGCTTTGCTAAGCTTGTTCTAAGTCGGTGCTTTAGACCACTGAGCCATCTCACTAGCCCCCACAAATTTCTTATTCATTTATTGGTAGATTAATCTCTGTCCTAGAATGACTGTCACTACAGTGGGCAACACATGGGCCTTGTGTGCTAGCCCAGTGTCCAGTGCAAATTGGTGCTCTATGAGTGTATATCAGACCAATGTGAGTAGGGGGGACAAGGGGCCTCAGTGAGTCCCAGAAGTGAAAGCCCAGTGTGGCTGAGATGATTAGAAAGTCACTGAGCATGCAGGGCCTCACAGGCCACAGTGGGGGGAGGAGCTACGCAGCCTTCATCCCTGTCACCAAATAGCTGAGAAAAGCAACAGTACAGACAGTATAGACAGCGCAGACAGCGCAGACTGTGCAAACAATATGTGGGCTCATGGCTTTGGAGGGTGCACTCTATGTTCACTTGCCCTGTTGGTTCTACATCTGTACAGAAACCTCCTGGAAGGAGGGTGTGGCAGGAGAAAGCTGTCACCTTACAACAGCCAGGAACCAGGAGAAGAGACAGGAAGGGGCTGTACTCTCTTTAAAGGCACACCACAGTGACCATGACCTGTGTTCTCCAGTGAGCCACAGCTCCTAATAGCCCCTTCAGCTATATTTAAAGATTCAAACTCAGGACCTTGCGCTTGCCAGGCAGGCACTAAGCCACTGAGCTCTCTCTCTGGCCCTAGCCCCTTCAGCTAAGATCTCATCAAAGGATCGACGTACTGATGAAACCACACCCTCCTGACCCAGCCACCTCTCTGGGTTCCACCTAACATGGCTACGTGGGGACCAAGCCCTCAAAGAACGGGTCTTTGAGGGGGACACTTCACCCTGAAGCCACATCAGGGATACCCAGAGAGCGTTAGGGTGTGGGAAGGTGCTCTTATGGCTCTGAGCGCCCCTGTTGCAGATGGGAGGGCCCAGCTGGCAGGGCAGGGACTTGACCCCTTTTCTGCCTCAGGAAAGGCCAGTGGCTTTGCTCAGAAAGGTGACTAGAGAGGGAGGGAGAAGTCACAGAATCTGGGCTTCTGTGGATATGAATGGAGGAAGAGGCTGGGGTCAGCAGCATGGGACTTGGGGCAGTCTAGGGAGCTAAAGACAGGCTGAATTTAAGGCATCACCATGACAACCAGTGGGCACTGAGGCTCAAAGGAGAGAGCTGGCTGTACACACACTGTGAAGACAGAAAAAGAAGGCCTGAGACCCAGCCATGTCCTGGGAGCCTAGCATCTCACAGCCATGGAGGGGTGCAAGTGACAGACATGGAGCAGGACAATGGCCACCAAGACACCAACAGTGCTGGGTGTGGGGGGTGCATGCCCATAATCCAAGCACTTGGGAGGCTGAGGAAGGAGGATCATTGAGTTTGAGACTAGCCTGGGGGACAAAGTGAGCTCAAGGCCAGTCTGAACTGCATAACGAGATCCTGTCTCAAAAAAAAAAAAAAAAAAAAAGACACCAACAGTATCTGAGGGTAGACAGGCCAGATGGGCCACAAAGCCAGGGAAATGCCCTTTGTGGTGGCCTCTGTGGACACAGCCTTCCTGGAGTAATGGGCATGGAAGCTGAGTAAAGGGGCAGATGAAAGGGGCCCAGAGGGGATCACCAGGTGGGAGGTGAGGGGACCATCACTGACCAGAGACGCCCACTACAGCAGGAGGGAGGACCTAGGGCCCAGCAGGGAGCCCAGGAGTGGGGGGCAGCTGGAGGATGAGTGGGCATGCGAGACTCGAGGACCACAGCCTTCCCTAGGCACAGGAGCATGGACGGCTGCTACCAGGGCACAGTAAGCGCCGAGGGACTGTAGGCCAGGCTGGAGCCAGGCCAGCTGGGTTGATTCCCAACCCAGTGGAAGCCACCCTGCGGTCACTCAGTGGTACCCCTTATTGATCAGACCCATGCTAAGTTGAGATGGGTGCAAGAGATGGATGATAGGCTATGGTTGTGACCCGTGCAGTGTCCCCTCTCCACCCCTTCCCACAAGGACAAGAAGGAAACAAACACTCAATAATATTTATTGTTAATGTCTCCCAAACAGTAAGTTAGCCCTGGGCCCAGGAGTTGGGCCTCCCAGGAGAGTGTTTGGCTGGGCACCCAGTGTGGGTACACAACTGCACCCTAGTGGGCCTGGGGTCAGTCAGTCCTGCCCCAGGCTTTCCAGGTCCAGAGGTCTGAGTTGTGTCACACTCAGAAAAGCTGCCACTGTGGAGGGCAAGGTCATATGCCATTGGGGCCAGCTACAACCAATATCAGCACATGACAGGAGGAAAACTGAGCCAAGAGAGTGGTCCCCGGAGAAGAGGAACAAGGAGCCCACCAGGTCCTCCCCCGCTGGCTGGAGAAGGAAGAGGCGCAGGTCCATCAGGCATGAGTCCCAAGCAGTTTCATCTCCTGAGGGATGCAGGGGCCACTGGCCCGGACTGTCTTCAGGCTCTGAATTTTAGTCCCTGGCGAGGATGGAGAGGGGCCACAGCCCCATCCCTGCTGGGCCTTCACTGAGCCTTCTTAGTCACCTGTCGGTTCTTCAGCATCACGTAGGTGATGAATAAGCCTGCAATACACAGAGCAGAGAGGCTGGATAGGATCTGTGTTCAGGCCTGCTGGGAGGCCAGAGCAGGGCAGAATGACCCACAGGCAGGGCCATTCACCTACCCAGAAGCCTCTAGGGTAGCTGCTTATCTCCCTCATTCATCAAGTCAGATATCCACTCACATTCATTCAAAAATTTCAAAGTTAGAACTTAGCACACGCAACGTGCTGCACCCAAGTATTTCAGATTCCATGGGGAATAAGAGTCACCTGCTTGTGCCTTGACTCAGGCATCAGCCCCCCAACTGCCGCCCATCCTGCCCTACTGTCATCTGGTCATCTGACTGTCAATTTCCTGAGCACCAACTCAGTGTTGCAGCCTGTGCTGAAGCTGAGGATGCAGTCAGCAGGAGGACATGGCCCCCATCCTTAGGAACCCACAGGACACCAAGAGGCACAGGAACTAAGCAGGGGCGATGAGAGGTGACCGAGGTACAAGCAGTGATGATGGGCTGAGGGCACGAAAAAGGGACACAGGCCATTACAGTCCCAAGAACCTGAGGCATTAGAGAGAAGAAGGGTTGCAGACTTGCAGCACTGCATGCAAACAGAGAAACCCCAAGGAGAGCGGAAGGTAAGGAGATCTCAAAAGCAGATGCCCAGCAGCTGGCCAAAAGTGGAACCAAGCCGAGGCACCCGGGAGACCACGGTGACCTACCCACAAACAGCAGCAGCAGCAGGCCCACAGCCAGTGGGATGGCGACGGCGTAGGCTCGGGGCAGGAAGTATTTGTGGATGATATGCTCGCTGTCGATGAACGGCTGGCACAGAGGGCAGAGCTCGGGTAAGTACTGCGCACTCTGCCCAGCTCCCAAGCTCAAACATCCCCCCAAGCCCTCCGTCTAGGGCCCTCCGACACCATCAGAGCACTGGGAAAACGTTTACTTTTCTTTTTGAGACAGGGTCTCACTATGTAGTTCAAGCTCTCCTCGAACTCACTTGGTAGCCCAGGCTGGCCTCGAACTTGAGGTGCCCCTCCAATCTCAGCCACCCGAATGCTGGGTTTACAGGCGTGCACCAGCACACGGTAGCTGTTTACAAGGGGTAGGGGGAAGGCTTCAAGACCCAGAGCTGGGGGGAAGGTGAGGCTTGGGAGGGGGCGACATACCAAGAGAATCACCCAGACGGTGTAGTAGGTGAAGATGATCAGGCTAACGGCCAGGAGGCCGAGTCCCACCACCTGGTCTGTCCCCGTGGCCTAGAGAAAAGGGAAGGCTCGTCTGACTAAGTGATCACACTTAGTGCACCAAAGGGGCGTCGCAGGCAGTTGATGCCCTAACATTTCCCATTCATTCAACAGCTACGCAGTGGGCTGACTCGGCACCGATCCGTAGGCTGGGAGAGTGCAGGCCACGGCGTTTTCTCCCGTCTATGTTCCGGCAGGAGAGCAATCCAACTGGGACTGCCCAAGCCCCAGCTCCTGAGCAGAGCCCCCAGCCCCCTCCCCCGGAAATCTCTAACTCAGCGGCATTCAGTGGCAGCCTCACCATTTCCCCTGGGCACAGCCAACCGAGCAGTAGGCCACATCCGGTTCCGGATCCGGGCCCTCCTACTCCAGGCCGCGAGGCACGCCGGGAATCGTAGTGCGGAAACCGGTCCAAGACCCGCAGGCGCCGCCTCCCTTTGTGTGCTGGGAAATGTAGTTTTTTTTTCTTTTTTTTGGCGGAACCGGGAATTAAACTCAGATCCTTGCATTTGCCAGTCAAGCGCTTATCCTACTGAGCCATCTGCCCGGCCCCGAAATGTAGTTTCTCCAGGGCTCCGCGAGGTCGTTTCCAGAAATCTCCCTAGAGAATGAGATATACCCGGAACCCAGACTTGCCCGGCCTTCTTGGCCACAGTCCTGTCCCCTCTATCTTTCCCAAAAGTGCGAACTTCTCATAGTTCCAAAGTGAGAATAAGGTTTGGGGTCGTAAAGTCCCCTTTTTCCAATGGGACAAGTGAGGCACGGAGGTCACAGAGTCTGTGGTAAAGCAGACAGTGGACCCTGGTTGTCCTGTTTTCTAGTCCCAAAGTCCCAGTTTGCCTGTTGGGAGAAAAGTTACACAAACTGTTCACCGCCCCGGCTTGATGTGGGAGAAGGGGCTGGCCCAAGTCCCTAGGGATGGTGTGGATTTTGATTAACAGAGACGGGGCACCTTTCTATCATCACCAGGCTGTCCTGGAGACTTTTATGGGGGGAGGTCCCCCATCTCCCTCCATCGGCTGCCTCCTGGGTGTGAGGCTTCCCACTGGCCTTAAGGGCGGGTCTCCCCAGTCCTCAAGGCCCTGTCCCCTAAGAATGAGGAAAGGTTGGGCCAGGCTGCCCCGGACGCCCGGTACACTCCCACAGCGAGTGGGGCTGCCTGCTTCCACCCTGTGAGCTCTCACAGATGCCTCTCTGCCCCAGGACCTGCTCTCCAGGGAGTGATGGGGCTCCCAGTTGCCATAAAGAAGCCTGAACAAGGTCTTTAGACTGAATTACATCTCCAGCCTTTTACAGTTTTGAGACAGGGTCTTGCTAAGTTGTCCACGCTGGGCTGGAATCTGTGATCCTTCTGTCTCAATCTTTCAGAGCCCTAGGATCAAGGTGGCCACTACCATGAATTTTAATTAGTTGACTTTGGTGACCGAGCTCGCTGAGGGGAGGATCTGTGGCCTCTGCTATAACCTCAGCACACAGCTGGGACTTATAGTTTTGAATCACTCAACTTTAACACCTGTAGACCTTTTTAAAAAATCCTGCAGTGCTGGAGTCCAGTATTCTGGGGACTCCATGCCTGCCCCATGCCTGTGTATGTGGAAGCCCTGGGCCTGGACTCTACTTGGGGCTAGGGAGAGCCGAGGTCTGAGTGGGGCAGCAGCGTAAGGGCACACTTATAGAACAGGAGACATGGAGGTATATTATAGCAAAAGTTAGAAATCAGTACGCTCAAGCTGCCTGTGCTGGAGAGGGCCTTGACAGTGTACTTCTCTTTGATAATGTGCTGGGCCAACCTGACTGTGCCCAGCTTGTGTTTTTCCTTAGTGAGAAAAATATGTATTGTTTCCAACTTGCTTCAAGGACTTCACATCTGGGAGAGACAGATCCAGTCAAGGACCGACTTGGTTTTTTTTTTTTTTTTAATACATGTACTTAGTACAGGGTCTACAGGGTCTCACTACACAGACAGGACTTGTAGTGATCCTTCCTGTTTTTTAGCCTCCGAAGTCTACAGGGGTGCGTCACCACGCCTAGTCTCAATCGCCATCTCCAGCAAGCACCAGGGGCGGGGCCGGCACGGCAGGCCAGGAATCGAACCCCAGGCCCTGCTGTCTGCCTAAGCAGGGGCTTTCATCTGCTATCCTGCAGGCCCCACTTTTTTTTTTTTTAAACTTTATTTGTGTGTGTGTGTGTGTGTGTGTGTGTGTGTGTGTGGCCAGCTCAGCCCACCAGGGGGCGGGGCTGGCTGGCATGTGGTGCTGGGGGATTGAACCGCGGTCCCTGTGCTTTGCTAAGCTTGTTCCAAGTAGGTGCCTTAGACCACTGAGCCATCTCACCAGCCCCCCCACTTAACTCTTGTAACCAATCACGCAATAACCTGCTTTCAGCTTTGTACTTTCCACTAGCAAACCATATTTAAACAACTTAAACCTGACTCTGGGCTGGTGATTTACCCCTCTGGGTTCCCCAGCCTGCTAGCATAACAAGTTGTCTTCTGTTCAGCGAGGCCTCCCACTGGACCGATGATGGTTTTTCTTCTACAGTGTTAGTCTTCTCAGGGTTCCCAGCCTCTTGGTAACTATAGGAGCTCCCCTCCCAAAGCTGGAAGACCAACCCTTGTGGCCTACAGCTCAATTCTCCCTCCACACCCCACCCCACTTTCCTTCCCAAAGTGGCAGAGAGGAAGATCCTGGTGACTGACTCCACGGATTAAAGGGACAATGATGGGGGTTCAGCCCGGAGAAGCAGGGACGCTGCTTTGGGGCAGACTCTGGAACCTGACTGATTCTGGTCTGGCTCCAACCACTACAGCATCTTGCCACTCACCTCTGCACTCACTAAAGGCCTGGGACGACCATCTTCAGGCTCAGCCCCAAGCTCCTCTGTGACCCAGGACAGGCAGGAACAGGATGAAGGGCCAACGCTGAGCCTGGAGATGAGACCTGCTGGGAGTGTCAGCATGCCAGGGCCCACCGGGTACCTCTGTAGGTCAGGCTGCACACCCGCTTCTGGCCTCCTCTCTTGCAGTGGAGGCCACTGGCACAGTTACTTATCCCCAGAGGTCAGAGCTGTCACTTAGGCGTGACTGACAAAGAACCACCCTTCTGGACCTCAGTTTCCCTCCCAGGAATCTGGAGTAATAAAAGTGACTTTGGTAACCACAGCTGGGAATTGGGAGACTCCTGGCTAGCTCCACCTCCCCGCCCCTTTTCTTGTCCTAGGAATTAAACTCATGACTTCACTCTGGCCAGGCAGGCACTGTGCCAACTGAGCTGTATCCCTAGTTCCCCACTCTGGAATGACACCTTGCACATCTGGCTTCCTTGTGATAGCGCTGACTCCAAAGTCAGTGTGGTAAAGCAAGCACATAAAAATCAAAATGACAAAATAAACAAAAATCGCAACATTTAATTCCTCCCCAAACCAAGATGCTGACATGAGGCTGATTTCCCCTTACAGTGTTACTTCTGGGAGAAAGCCAGGACAGATACAAGTACAGCCCATGGGATGGGGTATGGTGGCAATATTGTTAGAAAGGGGGTGATTAAAAGAAGAACAGTGACCCTCCCCATCACCTCCCTGTGGATAGGAAAAGGATATTTGCCATCCTGGCAGATTATGCCACACGATCAGTTATGGGGTGACCAGGAAAAAAATCTAAAAATATCATATACCTTTATTTTAAATCTAGTAGAAACGTTAAAACTGTCTTTCAAGAAGATTCCAAACTGGCATTGCATAGACCAATTCCTTTCCAAAAATATCTCTAATATATCCTCTTCCTCTACATAGAATTTGAAGTCCAGGTGGGGGGACACCTGGTAGAAATTCACTGAGCTCAGAGGGATCTGCAGGCTGGAAACAGGGCTTCCACGCAGGGACAAGACCACTGCTCCGGGCCCTGGATCCAGCCAGCATTCATTTGGTTATGGCCAGATTCTTGGCCTGGTTACCCTGGCCCTGGCATGGAATGTGGCAGGCTGTCACTTCTGGGGTGACTGTCAAGCTCAGACTTCAATGGGTGGGCTGGGGCTCCTGATTTGGGGGTCGCCCTAGCAATACCAAAGTCAAACACTTTGTGCCTAAAGCCCCAGAACTTCAATGGAGGCTCCAGTTACTCTAACCACACCTCCCCTAGGTGGGGTGAGGTCATGGCCCCAAAAGGCAAGGTCTAGAGGTCACCTCACGGGAGAGCGAACAGCCAGCTTCCTTTTTTAAAGTGTCAGGATTCTGTTGGGCAGGAAGGGACACTCCGAGCTGACCAGAGCCAATCCAGCCTGAGCCCATGTTTTGTCCTGCCTCGCAGGCACTCCCAACAGCTACTTTCTGAAAGTTATCAGGTGATTAAAATGACAACAAAAGCCCTACGAATGCTCTGCTCAGTCCCAACACCAGGAGTTCCAAAATCTAGACGCCCACTCTTGCCAGCCAGGGCAGGGCGGGAGGAACCCTCCTGACTTGGGGAGGGCACCCACACCAGCGTCCTGGCCCACCTAGGTCCCCAGCACTGCTGGGGTGCGGCTGGCAGAGAACAGAGACACCTCCCCCTCACCCAGGAGGAGGGACTAACAAACTGTGAACTCAATAAAAGAAGGGAATGGGAGGCAAAAAGAAAAAAAATCCTATAAAGCTAGGTAAACACCAGCCCGCTGGGTTTATACAAAATGGGAGCAACCTGAAGGGTTGGGGAGTGTCGGGGCCTGGCTGCAGCCAGACCCTCCTTCAAGCACGTTCCATTCTGAGGACTGGGGCCAAAGTGCTGAGGCTTTGGGGGAGCAGGGTCAAACTGCTCCCTGCTGGGAAAGCATGCCCTTGGGGACCCCTCCCTGCCCAGCAGCAGGGGTACTCCCGGGGGTGAGGGGGGAGAGCCAGCTCCAGGCCAGTCGCAGCGCAGCCCCAGACCTGAGCGCAGAGGGCTTTGCTTGCCTTCTTCCTATGGAGAGCCAGCTGCTCAGGAGCCAGCCTGGCAGGGGCACCTCCATGCTGGGAGCTCTCCTGGTGCTGTGAGGCCTGAGCCGGGTGAGGTGGGGGCAGAGGTGGCCGGACTCTGGGTTCTGAGGGCGGCAGACCCTGGGCCTCTGGCTGCACAGCAGGCAGTGCCCAGGAAGCTTCAGGAGGGGTCGAGGGCAAGTGGGGCTGTGCTGGGGACATGTGCAAAGTGCAGGCTGCCAGAAGGACATGGGGGAGTTTAATCTGGAGTGAGTTGCGTCTGAGGTCTGGCTCCCAGGAGGAGGTCGCCCGCGGGCCTCCTAGGACACAGGATGGGACGGCTGAAACACTAAGCAGAGGGTTGCAGGTGGCAGAGTTCTGAGGGGTCTGGCCCCAAGGGCAAGGGACGACGGAGCAGGGCCTTGCTGGTGCCTGGCCCAAGATAGTACTCCTGAGGTGCATGGTCACAGGAGCAGCAACCGGCAGCCATACACAACCCCCACACTGAGCAGCTGCTCATGTCCTTGGTGGGGGAGGAGGAGGTGCCACAGGACGGTCCCTCTGTGTGGCTCTTGGCATGGGCCTGTCCACCTGGCCCACTAGTGGTTCAGAGTATTCACAGTGGTGCAGGGCCCTGGCGGCCAGGAGGGTCCCGGGAGGGTAGGGACCGTGGAATGATGCTCTGGGAATGTGGCAGTGCACGGAGCAGGCACAGACGAGACGCAGCGCAGACCCAAGGGCGACAGCTTCCAGCAGGAGGGCGCGGTCTGGTGCCCCAGAGGGCAGGCCCCTTTCTGGCCACACATCCGCTCTTCAATGGCTTTCAATCACGACGGGTTCGTAGACCCCGGAGGAGACCCTGGAGGGGAAAGACAGGGCTCAGTTGCCAATCAGTTGCCCTCCATGTTCCCAGTACTCACAGTGCCCAGGCCAGGCCCTTCTGAGCACTGTGCAGGCAGGCATCATCAACAACCCGTTTTGTTTGGGACTTAAAACTGAAGCTTTGAGATCTTAAGTCAAGTGACAGTGATGTTTAAGTGACAGTGTGTGGGATGCAGAGCTGGCCCAGGCAGTGTCCAAGTCCTGTAGGGGGGCATCAGCTGCTTACACACCTGGGTGTGCCACCGACACTGCACGTTAACTCTGGCAGGGAAACACTGTGCCCTACCCCCATTTAACAGTTGACAGAACTGAGGAGGCCCAGTGGGACTGTGAGTTCCTTAGAGGGCAGTGGAAGGCCAAGAAGCCGCTCACCTCTTCCCCTGCTGAGGCCAGGTCCACCCAAGAAGCTGTGACAGGTGCTGAGCCTCAGCCCTCCTTTGGAGGCAGTGAAAAGCACCAGGGCTCCAGATGCCACTCACTCTGCCAGGGTCTTGCTGCTGACCAGACTGGCTTCCTGCCCCCCACCCTAGTTTCATTTTCAGAGGGGATTAGGGAGACACTTTTACAAACTTCCCAGAGAGCCCTATTTGCCCACCAGGTTGAGAGTTGGCAGCTGTAATTTCATGCCTGGACCAGCAGAGGCCAGCAGAGCAGCACCAGAGGGCAGGTCCTGGGAGCAAGGCTCAGCTAAGTCTCTGCTGGGGCTTCTGGCAAGCCAGCTACCCACCCGCAGGGAGCGCCTCCCCTCGCCCACTGAGCGAACCCAGGTGAATCCAAAAATATGTGAGCCAGGCCCGCAAGAGCTGCAGACTGCTGCCCCACCATGTGCTGTTCACAGCTGTGTCCCTGGCATCTAGCTCAGCATCTGGGGTACAGTAGGTACACCCCAATAAATACTTGTCTGGTCCACCAGGGAGTCATCCCCAACACAGGTTTAGGCGTTTGGAGACCGAAGAGAGAGAAAGACAGCACGGCACACAATAAGTGCGCATTAAGCCCCAAAGCTAAGCTGAGCTGTGGGCTGGGCACTTCCCAAGGGGACCCTGGGAACCCACCCACAGGACAGATAGGATGCAGGCTAAGACGTGCCTGGCCCAGAGTTGCACTGTGGTGACAGGAGCTGCCATACAAAGCCAATCAGAGGTCTAAAGGCCCCATTCCCACCACCAGACTCTTGGCGCTCGGCCCCTACCTGTTGGCCAGCTGAATGCCACTCAGCGTAGCTGAGCCGTCGCGGCTCACAAACAGACGAAGGTTGCTGTCTGTGGAGACACAGAAGACGGAGGCTGAGTTGGTGTTGGGACAGCCGTAGAACAGGCCACATGGCTCCCACCAGCCAGGGCAGGGACAGCTCACCCTCAGTGTTGCTGCCGTCTGTGAAGTCCTGGCTCTGCATGATCTTCTCCACAATGTCGTCTGCATCGATCCGTGTGTCGTCCACCCAGGTTGGGTGGCTCTCCACAGAGTCCTTCTTCCGCCTGAGTGGGGCAAGGAGGACACCAACAAGACAGTAAGAGCCCCACCCCACGGCACTCAGAATATTCTGTGTGTGTCCACCTGGCAGTTTGTGTGCCCGTGCCAGACTCCAGGGTACAGGTGCTATTCACCTGGTGGACAGAAGAGGGCGCTGCTCCAGGCCACAGCAGTACACAGAGACCTAAGGCCCAAGCCCAGATGCACTGAACGGTAACAAGGCTTGGGGCTGTGCCTTTTAAGCCTGTCGTAACCCAACCCACTAGGGTGGGCACCTACTGCCCCCATTCCTGTGTGACAGGTAAATACTGGTAGAGGGACCCACTGGGAGCCAGGGACTCACCGAAAAGAGCGCTCTGACAGGTGCAAGGGCCGGGGGGGTCTTGGTGGCTTCTCAGGGGGTCGGTGCTCACGCTCACCACCCTCAGAGCTCTCCAGGGCTGGGCCCAAGCCACCAGAGGCACTGCTGCTGGTGGACGTGTTGCGGCGGTGTGTGAGGTCCGACAGGCTGGAGGAGCACGAGTGCTCCGTGCTGTACCCTGGGGACAAGCAGCAGTGGAGAGCATCAGGCCTGGGCTTCTCCCGGCCGTGGGGGGCCGTGGGGAGGTGCGGGTGCAGGGCCAGGCCACTCACCAGAGACCTTGGACTGCTGGCTGGCATAGCTGGAGCTGCGGGAGTGGCCAGTGTGGGGCACTTCCTCAGGGCTGGACAGGTTCTGGTCTGGTTCCTCCAGCAGCCCTGGGGAAGGGGACAGTTTACCTAGCGGGGCCTTCCCCTGCACACTTCCTCTTGCCAGCTTCGTATACAGTGCTCTGCACCTCCATTTAACAAACTAGAAACCAGCAGCAGCCACCCTTGCCATGCCACAGATCACCCTCGGAGGCTGGATAACTCACTGAGATTCAAATGGGGACCTCCTCCCAACGCACCTGCTGGAGGCCAATGAAGAGGAAGTGTACTACGGACTGTGTGAATACACATCCACTCATAAGGACTAATGACTGTGAGTGGCACAGGCAGGGACGGAACACACCGAGGCCAGGCCCACACATGGATGGGGAAGGGCTGCTCCTTAACACTAGACTGGCTGAGTGTGGTAGAACAGGCCTATAATCCCAGCAATTGGGAAGCTGAGGTAGGGGGACCACTGGGAGCTCCAGGCCAGCCTGCACCACACACAGCAAGATCCTGCCTCAAAAATAAAAACAAAAACAAAAAACAAACATTAGAGCCTCAGAATGTGGGAGGCAAAGGGCAAGCCCTAGTAAGGCAGCAGCAACAGGGCCTTGTGGATGGAGATTTACAGGAAAAGCCCCAAGGGTGGAATGAGCCTGGGTCTGTGGAGCTGGAGTGCACAGAGTAAAGGAAGATGGGGTGGAGCAGGGGAGCAGGCCTGGCCCCCAAGGCTGGGCTAACAGTTTCCAGGCACATTTTCCAGGCACCCAGGGAACCAGGTGGGACTAGGCTCCCCTTGACCAAAAGAGGACTCAGCAATGCTGTCTCCAGCAAGGAGCATCAGATGCTTCAAGTCTCCAACCTGTCCTCTGCAGATGGTGGGCGAGTGGGCTCAGAGCCCACCCAGCCTGGGAGAAGTGCCACGGGATAGCCCAGTGCTGGGAAGGCCGTATCCCCAGACCTCTCTCCCCAGAGCTGACAGCAGCAGGGCTGGGACACTCCCACCCCTGCCTGCAGCTTCCAGGTACAGTAGGCAAAGCCCCAGCTTGGGCCCCAGAGGTCAGAGGTCCTACCCAGCCCTCAGGTCCCAGGGCCAGCATGCCCAGCAAGTGTCTGCTGAGCTGCCCTAGGCTGTGCCCTCTCTAACTGCTTGCTTTTTCTTGTGTAACAGTCTATGTAGCTTAAAAAAAAAAAAAAAAAAGTAATGCCTGCCAGCCAAGCACTCAATCCCAGGCAGGTTGGACATTTATTTAGTTAGCTCAGCTAGTACTTACTACTAACAATCCCGTTTAAGAGGACACTGAGACTGTAGAGGCACAATGGCCAGTCAAGGTCACTGTCACAGCAATTGGGAGGGCATGACTCACAGGGTAGCCCGACAGACACAGCCCAGGCTGCGGTTTGGAGTGGCCCTCTCTGGTGCCACAGATCCCCTCTGGGCCTGAGGTCCCACTGCCACATCTGCAGGGAAATGCCTGTGGGTCACCTATAACTGTACTGACCCTTGTATCTCATGTCTGGCTAGAGAGCCACCGAACACCTCTGGGTAACAGAGGTGGGAACCGAGGCACTTGAAGCCATCCACCAGCCTCCCCTCCTAAGCATCTGCCCAGGACACTGCTGTGGAGAGGGTATGGGCCCCGAGCAGGACAGGTGCAGGTGAGTGGGTGATGTACCTGAACCCAGGACAGTGGGCCGGGCCTTGGGAGGCCGGGACCCTGTGAGGGAGCTGGTGCTGCCGCTGCCACTGCTGCTGGTCCCACCACCTTTACACGTCAGCTGCAGAGAAGCATCCTGGCCGGGGATGGAGATGGACTTGGCAGTGGACGGCGGCCTGTATGTGTGGAGAGAGGCGTGCAAGGGGTGTCCCAACTTGGGATCGATGAAGACAGGGAGTCCACAGCCCTGGAGGAAGGAACAGTCCGTCCCCACCACCATGCCAAGGATCAAACTCCCAGCCCCTTATGTAGCCTGGCTGGCACTCACGTTTTGAAGCAGGGGTCTCCAGAGAGCAGGAACATTCCAATGGTGATCTGGGGAGGAGGGGAGACTCAGCACAGGCACTGTGCCTACAGACTCCTGGCTCCGGCCTCAGAGTGGCGGGAACCGCAGGCCACAGTGGCCCTTCCTGGCTAGGTGTGCAACTGCCTGTCTCCCGGAGGCCCAGGTCTGCCTGGCGGAGTGCCAGGAGCTGCAGCAGGATGAGGGCTAGCTGCTGAGCACACACCTCAGCGCCTGCTACTTTGTATCAGGACTGAGCTCCTCTGTGGCATGGCCCAGCTGGCCATGGGGCACAGTGCCAAGCCTGGCAGAAAGGGGGACCTCATGGGGCTATGTGGGGGTGGGGATACACAGGGACGGCCATGGGGAAAGTGTGAGGACTAAAGCAAATCACAGAGCCAATTAGAAATTCAGCATTCGCTTGGGCACCCTTTGGCAACAGCCCAAATATGGCTAAGTCTTGGTCCCAAAATCTGAGATGAGATGGAATGACAGGTAGGAAAGGGGTACTCTGATCCCAGGACACCTGACCTAAGTGGACCACCAGGCTGAGGGTTTTATGGATTATTTCATTCGGTCCTAATAGCAGTCTACAAAGTAGGTGACATCCCAGATTACAGATGAGAGAACCAAGACTCAAGAGCGGGAAAGGATGTGGGACAGCAGCCTGAAACAAGGCCATCAGAGCCCCCTCCATCCACCTACACTGGTGGAGGGTATGCAGGAGGCTGGGAGGTCTGGCTATTGCCTAGATCCTGGACTTTTCTGGTGCCTCTGGAGCCTGAGCCCACTATGCATGCCCAGCTCCACACTGAGGCAGCTGGCTACCCCTGGTTAGTGCTTGGAGGTGACATCAGGACATGCCAGGCAGAGGCATGTGAAGAAAGCCGTACTGGGGCCACATGCCCAGGCATCTCTGATCCTAAGAGGCCCAAGAGGAGTTGCTAGGGCTGGTAAGACTAAGTTCAGTGGACTATGTGCCTGCTTACACAAGTGCAGGGACTGGGGTTCAATCCCTGGCACCACATGCAGTGCTGGCCTGGTCCCCGGGCACACCAAGACCGGGCACAGTAGCACATGCCTGTAGTCCCAGTGCTGGGGAGGCTGAAAACAGGAGGATCACTACGAGTCTGCTCTGTAGCGAGACTATGTACCAAATACATAAAAAAAGAAAAAGAAAAGAAAGAACGAAAAAGGAAAGAAATTAAAAACATAGGGCCAGCCTGATAGCTCAGCAGACTAAAGTGTCTACTTAGGCAGAGCACAGTGGCAGGGGTTCAATCCCTGGGGTGCCGGGACAACCCACCCCTGGGGCGCACTGAGTCAGTCATTGAGACTGTATGTGGTGGTATATGCCTGTAATCGCAGTGCTTGGGAGGCTGAAAACAGGAGAATCACAAGTCCGAGCTATGTAGTGAGACCCTGTAGACCCTGTGCTAAATACATAAAACAAAATTTAAAAAATGAGGCGTTGTCTGAGGCAGGAAGCTGTGCTAGTGGTAGGGGGCAGTAACTGGGCACTTGAACCTTGGCGAGTATGAGTCCAGGAAACCAGTTCTCCTCTGGAAACCCACCAGGAGCCAGTGGTCCCCAGGACACAGAGCAGGACTTAGGAGCTGGTCTGGGGGGCCCAGTAGCAGCAGGGTCAAGTGCCAGTCTGCCCACTTCTGGGGCAAATAACTTGTGTGCACCATCCCATGCAACTTGGGGCACACCTGAAGCAGCTGTCATGGTTGAGACAGGAGGAGACATAAGCCTTGAGCACAGGCTGATCTTGAGGAAGGGCTTGTCAAGCCCTTACAGGCTGCTCTGGCCTACCTCAGCCACCTGTGGGGCAACAGCCCCAAGCCCAGGGCCCAGACTCCCTGGCCTCCTGCTGCCTGGCCAGATGGGAAGCTGTACTTTAAGCAACCCTCTGGGGGAGTCGGATAAGGATTCCGAGGTGGGGGTGATGGAAGAGGCAGCACGGTGCCTGGTACCTTGAGGATGGAGTTGTCCTGGCGGGTGTTCTTTGTGTCATACCCCTCTAGCAGGCAGCAGCGCACCGTGGAGCCCGAGCCTGCAAACTCAGCCAGGTTCAGGTCGGCAAAGCCCAGCTGTGAGGGGAGGAGGCTTGTTAGGAGGCTGTCGGAGTGTAGGCTCAGGGCCACTGATCCACAAGGGTTAACTGGAATGGGGTGGCAAAGGGAGGGCAGGAAGAGCCCCTGGGTCTGCCCCATGGCCTGGACTGGCTGTTGTATAACTGGGTCCCAAGAACAGGACTCTGGTTTGCAGCACCAATGTGGCAAAGCTAGAGCTTGCATCCCTGCGGAGCACAAAGCACTCTTTGTGCTGTATCCCAGTATGCACCGGGCCAGCACTCCTGACATGAAAGGGCATTGTTGTCTGTGACACAGATGCATTGTTCCCTGGGAAACAAGGCTGTGCTGTGGGGAGCTGTCAGGAGAGGTGGGGGGAGAGGAGGGCAGAAGGCCCGTGGGAACCTGGTAGCAGGGTGGGCTGATGGGACCCAAAGGGCCAGGAAGACTGGAGGGCAGAGCCCAGGATCTGTCCAAGTCCTGGGGACTTGGGCTGCTCTTCAGCTGCTCAGGGAGGGATTGGGCTGGAAGGAGGCCATGCCTGCCTGACTGGAGAGGAAACTGAGATTGAGGTGAGGGGCACAGGCTGATCAGAACCAGGGCCTGACGCCACCCTGGGCCTCACTATGCTCCCCTGAGTATCAATCAGGGTGAAAAGCCACAACGAGGGCAGCGCAGCATGCTGCCGGCCCAGTCAGCACCGCTGAGAAGAGGCTGGGCAGGGTGCTCGTAGTCTCTTCTCTAACTGGATGGCTGTCCTCACCTGCATGAACCAAGGACAATTTCTACTCTGACAGGCCCCCCTCCCAACTGGTTCTGAGCACCTGCGCTCTGCTGTCCGGTGTTTTGGTGGGAGGAGCTGTGCGGTGCAGCCCAGGGCTTCACGCATGCCCAGCGAGCTTGCTACACAGCTCCATGCCAGCCCGCACTCTGTACGGCTTGCTCTGGTCAGCAGAGCATCCAGTGCTTCCTGAGGCCTTCCAACTGGGGTGCTGCTAGGCACCTCCAAAAGCCTGGGGGAGGGGAGGCCAAGGGTGCCCCACAGAGAAAGGCTCAGAGAGGGGGCAGGGCCTCTTCTGCAGCTTTTCCCCACAGTAAAGGCCTGGCTGGTCAGGGTGGAGCCAGGCTGTGGCAACCTGGCAGCAACACAGATGTCCAACAGCAGGGCCTGGGGAAGTCAGATGTCATCAGCCACACAACAGGATGCTGCTGCCACGAGAAAGCACACAGACATCTGTGATGACGCTCGCCATAGACCATCAACTAAAAAGCCCAGCTGCAGATGTGTGCACGGGAACCACAGTGCGTGCAGGCACCCGCGCGCGGCACTTGCAGCAGCCTTTTATTCACTGCTGCACACAGAGAGGACTTTTTTCCTTAAAAGGGCTGGGGGTGGGGTGTGGCTCAGTGGCACAGCATTTGCCTAGTATGTGAGTCCTGAGTTCAAGCCCTAGTACCACCCAAAAAGGTTTGGAAAGATCCTAACCAACACCAACAGTGCAATACTGGGAGGAGGCAAAAAGGAGGGGGACACTTAGAGCCCTTTCACTATACACTTCTACAGCACTGCGTTGCAACGAGGAAAGGCTGCTGGTGGAACAAGTGCCGACTACCAGTGAAGATACTCCACTGAACGATCCACCTTACGGAGGGCTTGGGGTCTCCTGTTTGGGGGGAATGGGGCTGTGCTACCCCCGCCTCCCCTTGGGGTAGCCCCTCTTACCTTAGAATAAGCCTTTCCGCCTTTCAGCTCCTGCACAGGGAGAGAAACACAGGCAGCACGATCACAGGGGAGCTCCACGCTACCCCTAGCTGAGCCCCAGCATGGGACACAAAAAGGGCAGAGCAACTCCCCTCATCTTCCAGGGCAGAGAATTCAGGGGAGGGTCCTAAAGCCTCGCAGACCACCAGTCCCACCCACGCTCAGGCCCTGCTCACAGCACTCTTGGCCCAGGTTGAGGAGCCTGGCCTCACCTTGCGCACAGACACGCGGAAGACGCAGGGGTCCAGCAGACCAGTGGCTGGGTTGGCACTCATTTTACACACGAAGGTGAACCTCTTCCGCCAGCGCACACAGTTCTCCTGCACCTCCTCCCTGCGGGGGGGGGGGGGGCACTGCGGAGTGGGGGGGGGAGAGAAGAGTAGGGGGCAAACAGGGTGACATGGGGAGGGGAGGCAGCTCTCATTTTTCACTCTGCGTCACAAAGTGACTATATTTTTACAAGAATGTGCTAGTGTAACTGTTGTAAAATCATCAAAAGCATGGGCTGGGGAGATAGTTCAGCTGTCTAAGTGCCTGCCTGGCAAATGCAAGGACTGGGGTTTGAATTTGATCCCCAGGACTGCATGCCATGCTGGTCCTGCCCTGGGCATGCCGTGCCAGCCACAACTGGGCATGGTGGCGCATGCCTGTAATCTGTGTTGGGGAGGGTGAGATAGGAGGAGCACTACAAGTGAGCTGCACAGCAAGACTATCTATCTATCTATCTATCTGGCTGTGTACTAGGCAGTGAAGCTGCGCAAGGCAGGTCCTCAAGCTGGGTCTACGAACTTCAGGGGCCGGAACCCCTTCGCCACCACAAATAGCAACAACGTCCACTATAGCCTAACAGCTGATGCTGTATGGTGCTTCCCATATGCAGGCAGTGTTCAGAGAACTGAGAAGCCCATGGCCACTGGACCCTACTTGCAGTGCCAGAGATTAAGTGGTCACACCTGTGCCAAAGCCTTCCAACTACTGTCCAGGCAGCTGTTGTCATCCATTCCCCAAAGCCAGCGGGAGCTCTGGGGGCTATGCCGCCCTCCTGAGGCCAACTCCTGGCAGGGGCAGAAACAAGGATTGAACCAGCCTTGGCTTCCCTGGCACTAATGGGGGGCTGGGGGCACAACATAAACCCAGCACCCCTAACGAGGTAGCATCTTGTGCCTTGCTCAGAGCACTGGGAGCCTCTCCTGGCGGCTGTGGGGCTTGGCAGGATCTGGGGCAGAGGCAGCACATGCTAAGAGCTCTGCACTCTGTAGCAGTGCCCTGTGCTCCCAGTCCTGACACAGCCGGTGCTCAGGAAGGGCGGGGTGGTGACAGACAGTATCTTAGCTCATCCCACCTAACCGGACAGCCAAGGGGACAGCTGAGGAAGTGACCTCTCTATACCCTGGGTTACCCACAGCACATGTGACAGCTGCCAGACTGGGTCTGAGTCAGGCAGCTCCTGAACAGAGAGTCCAGGAGAGCTTACTGGGAGAACCCATAGGAGTGTGGGGCTAGGGGGCTGGAGAGATGGCTCAGTGGTCTAAAGCACCTACTTAGAACAAGCTTGGCAAAGCATCAGGGACCGCGGTTCAATCCCCCAGCACCACATGCCAGCCAGCCCGCCCCCTGGTGGGCTGAGCTGGCCACACACACACTACACTACTCTCTCTCTCTCTCTCTCTCTCTCAAATAAATTAAAAAAATAAATAAAAAATAAAAAAAAAAAGGAGTGTGGGGCTAGCAGTACCTTCCTGCCTCCCCAAGACCAAGGTTAAACAGTTACCACACATGACTCAGCTATTCTACCCTTAGGAATACACCCAACAGAAAGCAACCTATGTCCAAACAAAAAATTACATGTGTACAGCAGCACTATCCACAACAGCCAAAGAGTAACAGCCAAGCTGGACACTGACTGGTGTGAGGCTGTAATCCCAGCCCTGAAGGATGAGGCAGGAAGGGCACAAGTTCAAGTTCCACCAGGATTATATTGCGAGAGCCTTACAATTGAAAAATAAAAAAGGGTGGGGATGTAGCTTAGTGGTGGGGCTCTTCTGAGTTGAATCCCCAGTACAGTTAAAAATAAAAAACGAACAAAAAACCCAGAAAACAACCCAAATGTCGACTGGAGAATGAACAGTACCAAGTGGTCTCTTCATATGATGGAATAAAAATGAAACACAGAACATACACTTACTACAATGTGAGCTAACCCTAACGATACTAATGCTAAGGGAGGAGGGCAGACATGAAGGACAACATGGCATTTGGCTTCATTTACTAGGAAATTTACAGAGGCAAAGTGCGCTGGTGGCTGCCACGGGAGGGGATTTTGGAGGAAACAGTGACAGCCAATGGGTATGAGTTTCTTGGTGGGATGAGAGAAATGCTCTGCAAGTGACTACAGTTATGGCTGCAGGGCAAGTAGGGATGCAGCTCAGCGGTAGAGCACTTACCTATCATAAGAGGCCCTGGTTCTATCCTAGCGCCACTAAAATAAATGATAAAAAATTAAAAACAATCTCTGCATTACATATTTTAAACTTGTGAATTGTGATTTTATGATTTTAATGTATTTAGTACAGGATCTACAAGGTCTCACTACACAGATTGGACTTGTAGTGATCCTCCTGTTTTTAGCCTCCCAAGTGCTGAGATAACAGGCACGCGCCACCACAGCACACCAGGGATCGAACCCCAGTCCCTGCATCTGCCTAAAAGGTGCTTTAATCTGCTGAGCTATCTGGCCGGCCCTATGTGATTTATGAATTACACCTCAATAAATGTCTCCCATAATCATATCATGCTGGGTCAGATAAACAGAAATGGAGGAAATAGTGATGGTGAGTGCTGGATAGAGATGGGAAGGTGGGGGCTGCTGGTTCAGGGCGATGGCCCTTAGGCAGTGACACCTGAGCAAGGCTTGGAGCACAGTGAGGACAGAGTGAACCCCAAATGCCACGGCTCTCAGGTAGTGACATACGGCAAAACAGCATGGGCCCCAGAGGCTGCAAAGACCAGCAGGTGGGGCTGAGATCAGTGTGGGGCAGGGGCTGGGGCCTGCTGCCATCAAGTCTCATTCTGGTTGAGATAAGGTCTCACTTTGGAGTGTAGGCTGGCCTTGAACTCCTTAGCCCAGATTGGCCTCAAACTCACTACAATCCTATTGCCTGAGCCTCTGGAGTGCTGGGATTACAGGTGCCCCAGCACTGCCTCAAGCCTCATTGTCACAACAGTGCGCTCTGACTCCTGTGTACTGTGGCTTCGGCAGGGGCAGAGAGCAGACAGCTAGCAGGTGGATGGAGGCCAGAGAACGGAGACCTCTCAGCGGGCAGAGGCCAAGCTTGCAAGGCGGAGGCTAGGGAGCAGCGTGCCCCGCCCTCACCAGGGGTCCCGCAGCTGCTAGAGTCAGGGGCGTGCCCAGACACCCAACTAGGAATGAAGGTCAGAGCCTGGGAGCAACAGCTGGTGGTGAACCCAAGCACAGGCACTTTCCCTTCCCTTTTGAAGGCCTGCTGTGGGAACACCCCACCAGGAAGCCTGAGGCCCATCCGCTGTTCCTGTGGTCCTGCCAGGCCAGGGTAGAGAAAGCCACAGGGAAGGTGACAGGTGTGTTCCTCCTCCTGCAGGAAGGTGAGCAGGGGCAGGACTCAGGATCATGGGATTGGCACGGGGCCTCCCTCCTGCTTGCACAGCGCTCTACACAATCACCTATCAGATGTCACCACTCCCACAGGAAAAGGCTGGCAGCCTGGCCTGACCCACCCCCACCCCCAGGGTACTACAGTGAGGTGAAATCAACACCACATAGCACCCCACTGTGCCAGGACTGTATTAACACTGGCAGGTGGCTGCTTCACTGGCCCTCTTTTTAGATAAGGAAAGTGAGACTCAGAAGTGCTGCACAGCTCACCCAAGTACCAGAGCTGTGGGCAGACAGCAGAGCTGTCTCAGCCCCAGGCCTTCTGTGTCCAGGGGCTATGCCACAGACTGACAACTACAGCCACCTCCAGGACTGCAGGCCTTCCTCATCAGACCCAGGGCCCCTAGGTGTGCACCCTCCCATGGGCACAAGGGGTCCCCGTACAGGGCGGGGCAATGAGATAGGTGAGGGACTGCTCCTAAATAAAAGCAAGAGAGGGAGGCTGAGGCAGGAGAAGCGCCCTGAGTTTGAGATCAAGGTCAGTCTGAGATACAAAGCAAGACTGTCTCAAGCAACAACTACAAAGATTAAGGATGATAAGTGCCATGCAGAAAGCTGAGAGCCCCAGAGCAAGCAAGTGGCCAGGGTGGGTTTCAGGAAGTCTCAGGACCTTGATCCATTCAAAATCTTTTGTTAAGAACCCACTACAGCGCCAGGGAGATAGCTCAGTGGCATAAGCATCTGCCAGGCAAGCGCAAGGGCCTGAGTTCTATCCCCAGTACTGAAAAAAGAAAAAAGAAGAGGAGGAGGAACCACCACCACCCACTACACGTCAGTCACTGTGGAAGGCACCATAAACTAAGCAGTAAACAAAAGAGAGAAGTCCTCTTGGAGAGGCTCATGGGCTGGCAGGTGGTATAAGACAGAAGCGAGGTGAGCCTAGAGGTGCTAAGTGCTATGAGGAAAATGAACTGGAAAGGAGGCAGGCAGCATGCAGGCCGGGGGGTGCAGGAGAGGTGATCAAGGAAGATCTTAACGGGGAAGTGACACGAGCAACCCAGGGACAGTGAGTGCAAAGGCCCCGTGGCAGGATGTGCCTGACCTGTGCAGAGGACCACAGAGGCCAGTGCAGCTGGAGGAGGGACAGTAAGGAGGAGAATGGTTGAAAAGGAGACCTTAAGTCTTGACCTCAAACTTATGGAGAAACCAGATGGCTACACAGGGAACTGTGAGCATCCTCATGTGTGCGAGGGGCCACAGCGCAGCACTAACTGCTGGGCAAAAACAAATCAAATATGCTACAGAGAACTATCCAATGGCACGGAGTAGGATAGAAGCAGGGGGAGGGAGGCGGGGAGCTCTGTGCTCACCAGGAGGAAAGACAGCCTGTGGGACAGGCAAGATGCAGAAGGGGCTTATATTTACTTTTTAAAAAGAATTGCTGGGGAGCCTGCCCATCAGCTCAGGTGTTTAAGTGCCTGCTGAAACAAAGTAGTCAGGCTCAGGATACTGTGGTTCAATCTCCTCATCCTCAAGCCAAACCAGACCTGCCCTGAAGGCAACCTGAGCGGCCTGCAAAAAAAAAAAGAATTTCTGAGATATACGCAGCTCGGCCTGGCCTTGAGTTCACTTTATAGCTCAGGTTGGTCTTTTTTTTTTTTTTGGTGGAACTGGGGATTGAACTCAGGTCCTTGCGCTTGCC